CTGCTGCCTCATGGTCAACTTGTCGTCCACCATGACACCCAGGTCCCTCTCTGCAGAGCTGCTCTCCAGAAGGTCGGTCCCCAGCCTGTACTGGTGTCTGGGGTTATTCCTCCCCAGGTGCAGAACCTTGCACTTGGCCTTGTTGAACTGCATGAGGTTTTTCACCTCCCAGTTGTCCAGTCTGTCCAGGTCCCTCTGTATGGTAGTGCAGCCCTCTGGGGTATCGGCTACTCCTCCCAGTTTTGTGTCAACAGCAAACTTGCTGAGGGAGCACTTATTTGACAATGCTTCATTTGGTGCTCTTTCTCTGATAAGAGAAGTGTGAAGAGATGTGAACTGCATGTGCTGTTTTTGAAGTAATAGATGTAGATGGCCTGCCATCAGAAACTGTATTGGAATTGCAGATGTCTATGTATGCTGTAGTTAAGAGACTTAAAGAAGCTAATTGAGAACATGAATCTTTGGCACCCATCGATTCTTTCTCGGTATGGTACTAATAAAGGGACTTGAGTAGTCACTGTCTAATGCTGACTGTTTTTCAAAACAAATACTTAGCTTCATAGAATCATAGAATGCTTAAGGTTGGAAGGGACCTCTGGAGGTTATCTAGTCCAACCCCCCTGCACACGCAGGGTCACCTAGAGCACGTGGCACAGGACTGCGTCCAAGCGGGTTTTTAAGATCTTCCAGAGAAGGAGACTCCACAACCTTTCTTGGCAACCTGTTCCAGTGCTCTGTCACCCTCGATGTTAAGAAATTTTTCCTTAAGTTCCTGTGGAAGTTTTGATGCTTTCATTTCTGTCCATTTCCTCTAGTAGCTTCAAGTTTATATAATCAAAAGGAACCCAAGATGAGAAGACTTGAGCAAAGTAGCATGGCCATAGTGACCAAAAGACAGCATACAGAAATTGTTCTTATTTTACTGCAAAAGAGCTGGGTATTGTGTGAGAATTTTTTTCTGACTTTGCTTTTCCTCTCTTCTGTCAGCATCATAGCTGAAATCACATTGGATGATGTGTCTTAGGCACAGCAGATAGTCTTAGAAACCTGTCTCCTAGTCATCGGAGTTGTTCCTGACTCCACCAGGGAACATTTACCAGGCTGGCTACAAGAGCATCTTGGAGTTCTCAGTATTGTAATCACCTGCAGTCTAATTGGGCCATCCTGGACATGACAGCCCTACAAGAATATTACAAGAAAAACCAGGGAAGATGCAGTCTGCTTTTAAAATCAATAACCAGAAATCCCAAAGAATGGAATGAATTTGAGGAGAAGAACAGCTACTGTACTATTTTCCCTCTTACTTCTTTGCCTCTTAAAAAAACCTTTTACCTTTCCCGTGACAACCAAGGGGCTGGCTTCTGGTTAAGCCGGGATTTTTCTTGAGAATAGAGGGTATAAAATATTTTAGAGGATACAGAGCATTCCAACACTGATGAGGGTTGCTTTGTAAATAACTGAGAGCTCAGTGAGATTTTGATGCATAGCCATTGGTTTCAGATCACAAGTTGGTAAATTTAGTATTCTTCCATTTAAAATAAATATTTTTCTTGAAATAACTCTTTCTTATGTATATGTGTGTGTGTGTGTGTGTATGTATATATATATATATACACACAAGTAATGGGAGATGGGGAAGGACTTGAACAGAAATAGAGTGAAAATTCTATCACCAAGATAAAAGGTGATGACTCTGTCCAGATGCTGTGTGTCCAGATGCTAAGCCCATAAATATGATAACAGCCTTTGTGCTAATACTCTCTGTTCCTGGCAATGTGACAGATCATTGATATTTCTAAAGATCTTCTGTTTCATCACAGAATAATTTAAATTGATAGGGACCTCTGAAAGCCATCTGATCCAACTCTTGCTGAAAGCATATCCTGTTAGATTAGATTGCTTAGGGCCATGTCCAGTTGAGTTTTTTTTTTTACTGTCTCCAAGAATGGAGATTTTGCAGTATGTCTGGTCAACTGTTACATGACCGTGAGATTTTTTTTTTCTTTTTTCTAGTATGCATTTGGAATTTCCCATTTTGTGCCTTGTGTGCATTCCCTTGTGTCTTCACTGTGTATCTCCAAAATGGGTCCAGATTCATCATCTCTATACACTCCACTGCATAGCCAAAGACCGCAAAAAAGATCTCCTCTCCATCTAAGCTTAAGACTGAGCAAGCCAGTTTCTTTCAGTA